TAAACATTTAAACATTCAGTCTGAACATGCTAAATGTTCAGATTGAAAATCTGAACGTGACTGGTTTTGAGACATGCTGAAAGGAGGTAACATGGAAAACCTGGCTGGGTGATTTCAGTGGTGTCTTAATTTATATGCTGTACATGTGCTATATGATATTCCATTAATTTTTCATTTCTCTCTTTAAAATGAGCCTGGTTATGTAAAGAGAAATCATTCCATCCTCTCAGCTGCTGCATGCATGTTGGTCTTTGCCTGGTGAAGAACTGCAGTTGAAATCTGACGAGCAGCCATGCTCCCCAAGGCTAGGATGTGAATGATAAATGTATATTTGGTAAACTGATTAGTAAAGCCTTTGCACACTTGGCTAGTTGTATCCTGTTTCCTGGAAGGTTGCCAGATGGAGGAGAAGCGGAAATGTAATGGATTGCAAGAGGGTTTTTTTTCTGTTGGTTGGTTGCAAAAAAGCTGAATAAACAGGAGCTGCCTTGAGGTAGGTGAAGTCTTGCTATTTGAAGTCACGCAAGCCTTGCTCCGGCTCAGCTGTATTTTGTTTCCAGTGCTCTGTAGGTTGTGTCAGTGACACTCAGTGAGGGTGGGGGAGGCTATTCAACTGGATCTAGTTTAGCTTTTTTCAAACAAATCATAATCCCCAGCCTCTTCTGGTGGTGGGGAAGTTACAGCAGATGCCTGATGATCCACACACCATCCCAATTAACAGGGAACCTCAGCAGAGCTGCAGGCAGAGCAGAGCTGCTGCATCTTGAATGGTATGGTAGGTAGGATCAACATCAACTAGAGTGCCAAAATAACTCAATGCAATAACCTGAGCTAAATTTTGCTTGATTTAAGGATTTCTATTTTGATGTTTTGAACACTTTAAAAAATAAACATGTGTTTTCTAGATCACTGGCTCTCTGGTGTAGAGACCCAGCATGGTTCATCAATACTTCTTTCTGCTTACAGTGAAATTCTTAAGAAATTGATAGAAAAAAAAATTAATTTTAATAAAAAATTAAATACTGCAAACTTCCTTTCACACCCCCCACACCCCCCCCGAAAAAGTTAATACAGTTGATTTAGGCAGCTTCTGACAATAAAGCGAATTTAGGGGAGTGTTTAGTTGCCATCTGGAATTTTTTGTTCATGTTAAAAATGCCAGGTATTTGAAAAATGATGCCACAGCTCTGAAATCCTGAGGTTCATAGAATCATAGAATAATTAGGGTTGGAAAGGACCTTAAGATCATCTAGTTCCAACACCGGGACACCTTACGCTAAATCATATCACCCAAGGCCTCGTCCAACCTGGTCTTGAACACTGCCAGGGATGGAGCATTCACAACCTCCCTGGGCAACCCATTCCAGTGCCTCACCACCCTAACAGGAAAGAATTTCCTCCTCATATACAATCTAAACTTCCCCTGTTTAAGTTTTAAACCGTTACTCCTTGTTCTATCACTACAGTCCCTAATGAAGAGTCCCTCCCCAGTATCCCTATAGGCCCCCTTCAGATACTGGAAGGCTGCTATGAGGTCTCCACACAGCCTTCTCTTCTCCACACTGAACAGCCCCAACTTTTAGCCTGTCTTCATACAAGAGGTGCTCCAGTCCCCTGATCGTCCTCGTGGCCCTCCTCTGCACTTGTTCCAACAGTTCCATGTCCTTTTTATGTTGAGGACACCAGAACTGCACACAATACTTCAGGTGAGGTCTCACAAGAGCAGAGTAGAGGGGCAGGATCACCTCCTTCGACCTGCTGGTCACGCTCCTTTTGATGCAGCCCAGGATACGGTTGGCTTTCTGGGCTGTAAGTGCACACTGAAGCCAGCTCATGTTCATTTTCTCATCAACCAACACCCCCAAGTCCTTCTCCGCAGGGCTGCTCTGAATCTCTTCTCTGCCCAACCTGTAGCTGTGCCTGGGATTGCTCCCACCCAGGTGTAGGACCTTGCACTTGTCATGGTTCAACTTCATGAGGTTGGCATCAGCCCAACTCACAAGTGTGTCAAGGTCCCTCTGGATGGCATTCCTTCCCTCCAGCGTATCAACTGAACCACACAGCTTGGTGTCATCGGCAAACTTGCTGAGGGCACACTCAATCCCACTGTCCATGTCACTGACAGAGATGTTGAACAAGACCGGTCCCAACACCAATCCCTGAGGGACACCACTCATTACTGGTCTCCAGCCGGACATTGAGCCATTGACCACAACTCTTTGCGTGCGGCCATCCAGCCAGTTCTTTAGCCACCGAGTGGTCCATCCATCAAATTGATGTCTCTCCAATTTAGAGACAAGGATGTTGTGTGGGACAGTGTCAAACGCTTTGCACAAGTCCAGGTAGATGACATCAACTGCTCTACCCCTGTCCATCAGTTTTGTAGCCCCATCATAGAAGGCCACCAAATTGGTCAGGCAGGATTTCCCCTTAGTGAAGCCATGCTGGCTGTCACCAAGCACCGGCGGTGAGACTGACTGGTCTGTAGTTCCCCGGGTCATCCGTTTTCCCCTTCTTGAAAATGGGGGTTATATTTCCCTTTTTCCAGTCATCGGGAACTTTACCTGACTGCCATGATTTTTCAAATATGATGGCCAGTGGCTTAGCAACTTCATTCGCCAGCTCCTTCAGGACCCGCGGATGGATCTCATCAGGACCCATGGACTTGTGCATGTTCAGATTTTTAAGATGGTCTCGAACCAGCTCCTCTCCTACAGTGGGCTCACAAGGTCTTCATTCTCACAATCCCCGCGTCTACCTTCCAAGACTTGGGTGGTGCGGTCAGAGCCTTTGCCAGTGAAGACCAAGGCAAAGAAGTCATTCAGAACCTCAGCCTTCTCCAAATCCTGCATAGCCAGTTCTCCTGAGAGCTTCCGGAGGGGGCCTACGTTCTCCCTATTCTGTTTTTTTATTTGCTATGTACCTGTGAATCCCTTCCTGTTATTCTTAACATCCTTAGCCAAGTTTAATTCTAACTGGGCCTTAGCTTTCCTAAGCTGGTCCCTAGCTTCCCGGACAACATCCCTGTACTCTTCCCAGGCCACCTGTACTTGCTTCCACTTATCATAAGCCTCTTTTTTCATTTGAATTTTCCTCAGGAGCTCCTTATCCATCCAAGGAGGTCTCCTGGCCCTCCTGCTGCACTTCCTTCTGGTTGGGATGCAGCACTCCTGAGCTTGTAGCAGGTGATCCTTGAATATCAACCAAGAGTCTTGGGTTGTTTGCAGACAGGAGATTTCAAGAATAAATTACATTGATTCTTTTTATTTTGCTTGTGATTTCTCTTTGGTTACACACAAGCCACACAGACAAGCCTTTCTCAGCAGTCCGGAGATCTCCGCTTCTTCAGGCAGGAGAAGTTGAGATTTAAGCATGCTTGTAAGGATGTCAGAGCCATAGCTATGGCAGTTAGGGTGTGCATGAAAATAGAAAGACTAAACAAATACCAAGGCCTGCTTTAACAAACACTTTTCTAAAATCAGATAGTATCTGCTGCTATAGTCACCTTCCTGTTAATGAGAAGCCATCCTCTTCTGTCTTGGTTTGTAAATGAAACCATCTATCTTTGTCAAATGCATTTGATAAACGTAACTAGCATCCTCTCTATCAGGCAGCATTTTATGAAGTCACCAATTCTGTTGCGAGCAGATTTATGTGGGCACAAAATAATTTGGGTAATCTCTTTTATGCAGTTAGAAACAGAGGCTAAGATGAAAACATAATAATGTTGTCATGTTCTGGCAAGCTGGTGCTTTAGATGATGGTCTTGTTATTTCCTTCTTCTGCCTCTTTCAAACAATACTTTCCCCTTACTGTGGCTGGTTTGCTTCAGAGTACCCTGCAACAGCAGAGGTGGGTTTTGATATTCTGTTGCCTTTGTTAAAGCACACTGACTGTTGTTTAATTATTAACACATAGTGCCTTGTACATAGTGTTTCCACTGGGTGATTTCATTGTACAACCTTCTCCATAACATCTCTTTTCCTTAGCTTGGATGTGAAATCAAGTCTGAAAGCAAATACTTTGGCTGCAATGATGGCATCTTTGGCAGCTACAGATTACCAGGTGTTCTGCATCACTGTCTTTTATCCTTAATAAAATACCTCGTGTCACAACTATTAGCAACTCAACGAAGGCTGGACCACACAGGGTCTGCTTGTCAGGACATGGGGGAAGGGGGAGCAAGCTCTTTGAAAGCAGCTGTTTTGGCTGCTGTTTCTGCTTTCCTGCTTTGTCTTCTGCAGAATCTCCTATATTTATTGCTTTTAATATCATGGTGGTTTTCACAATTTACTTTATGTTAGTGTCTGAAGTCCTAAGTATGAAACCAGCCACATCTTGAGAGAGAATACAGCTGAGGATCCTGTTCCCTCTCTCCCTCCCCCAAAGGAGTTTTCTTTCCTGAAATGTCTGTCCAAACAGCTGACCCAAAAGATGAAATATTATCAAGATTATGTCTTGGTAATGTCAGCAGGCATCCTGTCAGTTGTCAGCACTGTGAACATACTGCCTGCTTGCAAATATCATCTTCACATTTGGGATTCTCACAGAAACTTTTCCCTGTTTCATGATAGCAGCTAGTTATTTTTACTTAACTGCATTAACTTTCTTTAGAAACTGCTGTATAGATTAAAACCACGTGGGTACCAGAGCATGGCTTTCAGCAAATCAATGCTGAAAGCCAGGGGATTGTGTTAATAGTTGGTAAATGCGCTTTTCAAACCCAGTGTCATAAGAAGATTGTTTTATCATTCTGGGCTGTGCTTTTTCTAGCGTGTTTGCAGAATATATCCATGAGGCTGAGTAATGTGTTCTTGTAGGTAAAAATGTGCAATGACTGAAGTAACTGTTGCCAACTTGGAAGGTCATGAATATGGCATAATTGAACACAGAATGCATAACTGCTTGCAACATTTGATGTATCTGTGATTTTTCCTTCTTAGATGGTTGTACAAGTGCTTTATTATATGACTGAAATTATTATTGCAATTTTTTTCCAGGCGACTGGCTGGCAATGACCTTTCTTTTATCCATCCAAAGGCGTTGTCTGGGTTGAAAGAACTCAAAGTTCTGTAAGTAATTGGGTTTTAAAGCTTAATAGCTAGCGTATGCTTTCTTAGTGCACAGCCAGCCTGTTTACTGGTAGGCTGGAGGAAATCTTTGCTCTCCCTGTCCCATTTTAGCTCTTCTACTTTATTTTTTATATTACAAAGCCTGTTATAAGTGGTGATGATAAACAGTAGTGATGATGAACAGTGGTGAACCTGACTAAAGCGTAATTACTGTGTTTAATTATAACACTTACTTGCTTCTGAAGTATATCTTGTAGAATAATCCTAAGAATGAAAAATCCTAAAAAGCCACCTAAAGATTTTTGTTTTCTTCCACCCCTTCAGCTTACTCTATCAGATGCCCCAACATTATCAGGTAGTACTAGTACTTACAGTTATTTAAAACTCTGTTTGACCTTTAATGGTGATAGAAATAATTTCTAGAGTTTGGTGCTTTGAGTGAAATGAATTACTATTAGAAAAAAAGTTTCAGTTGAAAAAGAAAACCCCAAACAGCTGTGTGCCCTGTTTCCCATATCTTGTTTTCCTTTCTGAGACAAGAATATTCATTTCAACTGTTTTTCCATAGCTAAGGATAAAAAGAGCTTTCTGTTGCTTGTGGTTCTAAAAACCTGTATGTAGCAGTTGTAGCATTTATGCTGATATAAATATTTCCAGTGGCTAGTAGGGTAATGGATAGTTTATTCAGCAGATATTAAAAAAAAATCAGTAGTGGAAAAGGACCCTGAAGTTGTAAAGAAAGAACTATAAACAGACAGCTTAAGCAGGGTACAGATTAGGAAACTGCCCATCTGCAAAACTACTAAATGTGATATTTTGTGAGTTGAATGCAGAGCGTCAAGGTTCTTGAAGGCGTCTTCATCAGGATACTCAGTCCTAAAGGTGCCTGAGGTTCTAGCAGTTCTTGAAACACTGGGCATGTGGCTATTAATTAACAGTTAACTTACTTGTCCACTTGCATTTTTATCCCAGTATGCACCAAAATCTAGGAAGGTTTTATAATGTGTGAGATCTCAGTTATTTAAATTCTCTTTATAAAAGAACTCATCATGTAATAATATGTTGTCCCGTAAGAGAACTTCTTATGAAACCCCAGTATAACTTAATTCAGTTTGGCTCTGATTTCATTCTGTGTCTTTTTCATGTTGTGCCCAGAGGTGCTTTGTTGTGAACTCACTTTGTAAATTAGATTGTTAATGCATTGTGTATTGATGTGGCTTTAAGAAAAAATTAGAGGTTTGTGTATTTCGTAGCATGTATAGGATGATTTCACAAGAAAACGGTAAAATATCATGCATTGTAGCAAATTTGTAGCAGCGTTAAGTTGTTCAGCCTCCCCACTGAACTCCCAGGGGAATTTCAGAGTATTATGTCAGAGGCTTGTTCCCTGCAAATTCATGCAGTTAATGAATGGGATGTAAATAAAACTGAAATAGACGATTTTGTTGTTTCATCCTTGCCTTTGGGTATCTGGGCTTGATAATTCTACGTGTTTTTATGTATGCTAGAAATTTGTGAAGCCATAACAGGACCATGGGCTCGTCTGCCACTTTTACTGTTGGTAAAGATTATTGTCAAATTGCACTTTACTAACGCAGTGGATTTTTACAGAACCCTACAGAACAATCAGCTGAAGACTGTACCTAATGAGGCCATCAGAGGGTTGAGCGGTTTACAGTCCTTGTAAGTTTTTGTACTTTGTTCTGTTCTCCAAGTTCCCCTTTCAGTCACTTTGTGCACATTTTCTTCATTCTGTCAAGTTTTGAAGTACAATTATGCATGTGCAATAATGCAACCGTGCTTTCAGATATTTGCAGTTTCAACTGGAGCAAAGTTTCCCAAGCTAAGTTGATAAGGAATTTTATTTGTCATCTTTGGTGGGGTGACCCAAATCCAAACTTTTTCAAAACTCAAACACAGGTACAAGATTAAGGTATAAATGTAGTGGTGATGGTGTTAAACATTTATCATCCTTCTTGCATGTCCTAAGGTGTTCAAGCAATTTTAAAATGTTGTGCAAAAAAAAAAAAAAAAAGAATCCTGCCCAAGTCTTTTGTATCCGGAGGAGGAAAAGGGGTTTCTGGGAAGGAGTATTGCTTGAGACACACATAGTATTGGTTTTACTGGAAGGTGTTGAAATCACACAGACAGTTATGAATACCTCAGCCATTATTGCTAGTCGCTCGCAAGGTATTTCATACATACTTATACTATCTCATGGCTTATTATGTTTTATAAAGCATCTTAATCAGACCTTACTAGTTAGTTACAGCTCTCTAGGTGGTAGATGCTTATCACTGTGATGAGGAGGCAGATGGGGGAAGGGCTTCAAGATTTTTCCTCCTTTCTGCTTACATACGGAGAGAGGGGGCAGATTCTCTCTTCCCTTTGTGCCAAAATTCAGGTTTCTGGCCTAAAATCTTGTTTCTTTCTGTGTTGCATCAGATTGTGGAACAGTTTGGGGGAGGGAAAAAAAACAATTAGTTTTGCAAGATGGCTTTGCAAACTATTGTGCAACTTTTGCAAAGGTGCTTTCTGCATTCCCTCAACTTGGATCTTGGCCACTACCTCCTCCTAGTTGTGTGGGTTCCCGCCTTTTTCACCTGAAGAAAGCACAGTAAGTAAGCAGCACAGGGCAGAAGAATAAGATGGGCTGCAGATTATCCCACAGAGCCACAGAGCTGCTTCTGCTGGGCTGCTTACCCCAAGTATCTCCTGTCCACCATGGTGAGCATGGGAAGCGCACAACACATAGCAGGAGGGAGCAATGAGTTTTGATGCCATGAGCTGACAGGAGCTTTTCCAGTCTTTTGGATCCAAGAGCAGGACAGATGCAAGTTTCAGTTTACAGCCATTTTGTGAATGTAATGTTTCCCTCTTGGGGTTTGTGTGTAGTAGACAGAATACCTTGGTCTGAGTGCCACTGTCACTTTGTGCAGATACATCCTTCGTGTTATATGATGTGAATAACCCTTTAGTAATTATTTAAAACAAAACAAAACACCTTCCTGGCTTCCTGAATTTCAGTAATGCAAAACCCAGAAACTGCTTTAGTAAATACCTTTGTTGTCTGCAAATTATCTTTTCATGTTCAATTAATGTGCTTTTTTTCCTCTACTTGTTTGCAGTATGTTTGTTCTTGAATTAAAGTTCAATATATCAAATCTGCAGTTACTGGTTTGATGATAACTTTATGTGCAAAAGGGAAGGGACAAAATTAAAGGAAAAATAATGAATTAAGCCAGCATCTCTCTCTTTCTAAAAATTCATATGTTTTTAATATGGTTGGAAAGAAGATCATGTTAGAGCCATTTAAAAAAAAGAGACACTTTGGTTGTTGAAAAAAAATCATGGCATGTTTATGTAATATTGCATAATGTAACCAGTATAATTGCTTGACATAACATCATTCTAATTAAAATTTAATAGTAACAACTTTGAGTGTGGTGAGGTTTCTCTTTCTGGAAGCTTCATTGTTGCTAGGCAAATGATAAACTGTATAAATTTTAAGAAGGTGAAAAAGGAGGAAATTGTTTAATAAGTAGCAAGTTACTTGTTACTACTTTTTCTGAGGAAAGCTAAATTGGGCCTTTGGAACAGCTGTTAGAAATAAGACGGGCAAATGCAGTCTGGAAGTCATCTGTGTCAAGAGGCACACAAGGAACTTTTTATATCCGTTTTCTTAATTCCACTGCTGTGCCTCACACTTTGGGTTGCCCGCATCTCTGTTCCTGACAAGGACATCTGTCTGCATTGAAGATCACACCGTTTTTGAGGATTGGCAGCAATTTGAAAGCAAGTTGTTTTTTGAGACAAGTGTAGTAAGAAATGTAGAGCATTTTTCCTGGGCAGTTTGTTTCTTTCACCAGAACGCAGATCTGTCATTTTAACAAAGTTCAGGGAAACTTTCAGTTTATTGCATCACTCACAGGATTACAGTGTAATTATGCATATTCCCTACTAATGTAGGGAGCACCTTTTGGCAAAGAAATGTAGGACTAGTTTCCTGAATTGTGTGTGTGAGCATGGAAACATGAGTGTCAGGATGCTGCTTTATTGATTTCTTTAATAAGTGAGGGGGGAAAAAAAAAAAGGAAAAAAAAGCAATTTATTTCTCGCCCAAAGGATTTTGTGGCAAAAATGGGTTTAAAGCTCCTGAGCTGCTGTGACTTTATTCTAAAACAAACAACTCTTTGCAGAATAGATGTAAAAAGCCTGCTTCTGCCTTTTAAATATATAATCTCCATCCAAAACCTGCAAGTTTAAACATCACTTAACTGACTCTTCTTGGCAGTTTCACAGTTTGCTCTGAAGTAGGCTTTAGGGGGATTTTTTTTTCTTGGTGGAGACACAAATTACTTGTTCATAAAACTTTATAATGTATTGATAATCATTTGGTTTGCAACTCCTGTACCCTGTATCCACTATCCAATTTTTCTCTTAATGTGCTCCAGTCCCAGCTGCGTGGGAAGATGGTTGCCACACTGTATATATTAACAAGCCTGGTAAACATACCTGGGTGGAAATAAAGATGATGGTTACAGGAGCTTCATGATCTCTAATGTTTATATTATAGCTGGCCACTAGCCAGCCTGGTTCAGAATACTAAACAACAGCTCTTTACTTTCTGTTTACATTGGATATTTTCCCAGCTCTGGCCTCTGAAAGAGGTTTAGAATAGAGCCTTTATTTAAGGAGGTGAGATTTAGCAAAATGAAAGAGTTTTACCGAGTGGAAACTTGCTGTCTAGCACCCCAGAAAAGTCTATCTGGCAGGATGTGTGAGGTCTCGAACGCAAGGGGGATGAGGACCTGCTTAAGTGAGTCCTGAGGAGGCCATGAAGATACTCTGAGGGCTGGAGCAGCTCTTCTCTGGAGCCAGGCTGAGAGAGCTGGGCTTGTTCAGCCTGGAGAAGAGAAGGCTCCAGGGAGACCTTAGAGCAGCTTCCAGTGACTAAAGGGGCTACAAGAAACCTGGAGAGAGGCTTTTGACAAGGGTCTCTAGGGACAGGACAAGGGGGAATGGCTTTAACCTGACACAGGGGAGACTGAGATGAGCTCTTAGGCAGAAGTTCTTCCCTGTGAGGGTGGTGAGGCACTGGCACAGGTTACCCAGAGAAGCTGTGGCTGCCCCATCCCTGGCAGTGTTCAAGGCCAGGTTGGACGGAGCTTGGAGCAGCCTGGTCTAGTGGAAGGTGTCCCTGCCCATGGCAGGGGGTTGGAACTGGACAATCTTTAAGGTCCTTTCCAACCTAAACCATTCTTTGAGTCTGTGATAAGCAAAGAATTTTAGATGCTTTGAGTGTTCCATTTAAACTCCAGAACTGTAATTGCTGCAAATTCTAGTGGGCATTTGCCATCAAATCCAGGAGTCGTTTTTTGATAGCTTGTCAGTAGCTGCTCGTGTATGGGAGATGATTTATTATCATTGTAGGTCAGGAATCACTGAGTTACTGTCCCTGCATATGTGCACACATGCCTACATGCAGGGAATACTGGAGTGTTCTGCAGGACTAGTTCAAAGCACTGCAGTTACGCTGTTATGCCAGAGTCCCAAATTGCGGGTACTGGGATCATGCCAGTATGGCACTCTAGTGTGATAGCTCCTGCCTTTCTCTGCATGTGGGTGTTCACCTGAGCTGCAGGGTAAGTGTCTTCATGCATGCGGTCAGCCGTCATTGTCTGCGGTACCTGATAGCAGTTGTGGCTCTCTAGCCTGGTCTGCTTACAGCCTCCACTGCAGGATTAGAACCAGTTTTGCAGTCTGCCTTCCCATATTGGAAGGCTGGAACAGGCCTGCAGCAGGATAAAGCAGGAGGCATGAATGTGTTGAACTGAGATGTGATTATATTTTCTGGGAGAGGAAATCAACTTGGCCCAGCAGAAAAGACTGGGGTCTTAAGTCTGGGACTGAAAGAACCAAGAGCAGGATCTTGCTTTGCATGGTAAAGATGCAGGGTAAAAAGGTGGGGACAGAGGATGGAAGGCATTTCAGTCAGACAGAGTTATTTCAGTCAGACAGGACACATTTAAAGTATGCATTTCTAAGTGTTCCTTGTTTTAGGAAGGATTCCCTATTTAGGGATTTTAAATCCCTAGATTTAAAGAGTGTTTTATGGTTTATGCTGATCATTTTGTGATTCTGGAGTATAGAGTTTTGAAGGATAGGGGTGTCTGCAAGGATAGTCTGGGGAAGATGATGTTCATTAGCAGTGATGACTGATTAGGAAGCATTCTAAGGTCTTACATGTAGTGCGAACCTTTACCAGTGGCAGATAGTTTTTCAACTAACCAAGTTTTAATGGGTTGTCTTCAGAGTTCTTTTTAGTTCCCTGCTTTGCTGTTATTGAAGGGTTAAAGGGGACCAGCCTTTCAGTGAGTCTGTGTTAAACTGTGGGATTAAACTATCGGCACCAGAATGGGGAAAGAAGAAATTTACCCACATGTCTTTTTTAAACTGCATAAGCAATGCCAATTTAAATATGCTGAGTATGCTCTTCTTCCTTGCAGTTTGTTTTTTGTTGGTTTTTTTTTTTTGAGTAAAGAATGTAGAAGAGCTCTCCTGAGCATGTTTGTGCTGAAAAATCTTTAAATATGCAGCAGTTTAAATATACTGCTCCATGAACTTCACATACTTGCTGAATTACGAGAGTCTCATTTTTCTATGCCATGTTCACCTTCAAA